AGAAGTGGTACTGCCAACCTCCGGCCCCAGAGACACCTAGAACCACCCCTCCCTCCCTCAGAGCCTAGTCCTGCCCAGCTTGGACGTTGCTGTTCCCTATTTCAGTGAGTAAGGCAAGTATGCTTTCCTAAGCCTTGGTATCCCCATCTGTAATTGGAGGTCACTGCACCTCTGACAAGAATTAACATATTTGGAATAGTGCCTGGTACAGACTGCTTGATGAATGCCGTTTCTTTTAACCACTGCCGATCCTCAGGGCCAGTCAAGCAGAACTCAATAAACATTTTGTCCGATAAATATGCCTATCTACTAAAAAAGCCCCCTAAGGTCAAGGTCTGTGAGCCTCATTCACCAGTGGCCCCTTAATGGCAGCTCAGAGCCTGGAGTGGCTGAATGGATGATACCTTGAATTTTATACTTAAACACCCACCTCCTAGGGGCTGTTTCAATCCCCTGGGAACATATGCTATCCTGATACCAAGGCTCCAGCCCTAGACACTGCAATGAACTGATAGGTGGGGAAGAAGCCCAGTGACTAATGCACAACCAGCATTGAGAAGCATAGATTTGGGCCCACATGGAGCATCCCAAATGTGTGTGCATATGTAAGGCCCTGGCCTTCCATTTTTGAGTAAGCCATTGCCTGCTTGCCGACCTTGACCAGATGTCCTCCCTATGCTAATTCCCTGCCTGTATCCACCCTCCTGAATGCTTAAGGGAAGTTCCTTGTTTGTGTATCCTTCATAGTGGGTGTTAACAGCTTAGATGCAAGATTGTAAACATCAGTAGCGAACTTCTGCCCTCTGGGGTTCTCCCATTGTGCTGTAAGCCTGTATTTAAGGTTTCCTCCCTCTTTCAATAACCAGCATTCGGCCTTCTGCTGAGGCAAGTGACCCGCTGTCTTTGCTCTGTTTTTCGATCCACAGCCCCTTGCTCCAACATGGTGAACGGGTGGTGGTAGCTCAGGCGTTATCGCTACATGCATACACTTCAGACAGGAACTCCAACTTCCTGGCCCTTGACACACAATGCTGGTTTCATCTGGTTATTCTAGGTAAATCAGAGGCCCTCGTTCAACCTGTTCTATCACTTGAGCAGTGACTGATTTTGATGAGGTACTCTGGGAGGTGACACTCCAAAGCACAAGTCCTCAGTGACAGAATAAAGGGGGTGGTGTGCTAAGTGGACACCCCTACCTTCTAGATGGACATTTCTTTTCTACCTGCGGTGATTTAAATGAGAAATGACATTCCGGCATTTGAACACTAGGTCCTCAGTTGGTGGCACTGTTTGGAGATGTTATGGGGAAGCATGGCCTTGTTGAAGGAAGTATGTCTCTGGGGTATGTCATGTTCATGAAGAGCACTTCAGTTCATGCTCTGCTTGTGCTTGTAGTTAAAGATGTGCTTTCTCGCTGGGCAGTGGTGGTGCACGCCTTTAATCTCAGCACTTGGGAGGCAGAGGCAGGCTGATCTCTGAGTTCAAGTACAGCCTGGTCTATAGAGCGAGTTCCAGTACAGCCAGGGCTACACAGCAAAATCCTGTCTTGAAAAACAAAACAGAACAAAACAACAACAAAAAGGTGCTCTCTCTGCTCCCTGCCCCAGCAGCTGGCTGCTTTGCCTCCTGCCATGACGGCTTTTCTCTCACTGGAACGGTAAACCAAAATAAACTTTCTTCCAGGAGTTGCTCTTGGTTATGGTGTTTTATCATGACTACCGACAAGCAGCTACTATAGGTAGCTAGTCAGTCTTCAGTGAGGGGTAAAGAGGTAACGGGGTTCTAAGGAACATCCCTAACTAGCTAGATGTTAGCAGGTTTGAAGATTATTGGGGATGGAGTCTGCTGTCCTTTTTCGGCAGCTTACAAAAGCAGAAAGTGGAACTACAGGACTCTGGTTAATACTCAGAAGATCTGAGTCATATCTGGCCAAGTGGAGACATACATAACATTCTGAACTACCAAGAAGGTCATAAGATTTCTATTAGTGGTAAAGAACAGGACATACCAATGTCCTTTCCTGAGTAGCGATCCAAAATGTTCCTGCCAATCACCCAGACAGGAAAATGCTCCCTCAGGGAAAGCTGTCTGTCCTAAAGACTTTAGACATAGTATAAAGCCTACCTAAAATGTAGATTGAGAGATCAATCAGTAGTGTTTACCTAACACACACAAAGGCCCAGGGTTTGATCCCCAGCACTACACTCAGGAGGTAGAGACAGAAGGGTCACTCAAGATCATTTTTGGGTACATAGCAAGTTTGAGACCAGCCTGGGCTACAGAAAACTGTTTTAGTCAATCAATCAATAATTTTTTTTAAATGCAGGTCAGTACAATGAATTTTTCTGGACATTGCCCTTAAAACGTCTTTACTCTGTATTAAACTATCTTCTACACTAAGTTTCTTTGTCTCCTCCGAATTCTTTCAGCAGAAACCACAGGACCAGGACTGGTCTGCTGTGCTGGTCATCAGGCCCGGACTGCCCCTCCCCGTCATGGTGCAATCAGCCCTCCCTTCCCCCATCTCTCCCTCATCTGAGTTACTTGGCTTTCTTATCAATTCCTGCAATCACAAGAGAGGGAATCTTGCAAACTTCCACACCTACAGTGCTGTTCCAGACAGAAGGAAGTACATTCTGAGGCCACATCTCTGAAGAGCCACTGACTGATGTAGCAGAAATCTTAGATGGTCTTATTAATAAAACCAAACCTGAGGCCAAGTATTGGGGTGAACACTGGAAGATCAGAGAGACAGAACAAACCACAGCTAACCTCACCTGGCCAACCTCTCAGCTGATCTTGTTTCTTCAGACTGGAAGCCTCTGTGTCCTCATATCCGAATGGCTCTCAGCTGAACTGTGCTGCTCAAAACCTAAAAGCTTAACCAGCCAAATGCTTAACCAGCCAAATGCTTCTAGTTCCTGGTCCTCATGCCTTATATACCTTTCCGCCTTCTACCATCACTCCCTGGGATTAAAGGCTCACTCCCTGGGATTAAAGGCATGTGTCATCATGCCTGGCTGTTTCCAATGTGGCCTTGAACTCACAGAGATCCCAGATGGATTTCTGCCTCTGGAATGCTAGGATTAAAGGCGTGTGCTACCACTGCCTATCCTAAGTATCTAGTGACTTTTCTGTTCTCTGACCCCAGATAAGTTTATTAGGGTACACATTTTGGGGAACACAATACCACCACAGACTGACCTTGGCTGCTGTGCTAATGAGATCTGGATGCTGCAGACAAAGAGCTGAAGCTGCTGCCATTGGTCTCTGAAGTAGCCCTCTAGCTCCAATGCCTGCATCTACGCAACATCCTCTTGACAACTACTAGGTGCAATTTACAGAATAGACTGCTAAACCCAACAGCCCTCTAATCTCAACTAAAGCAATGAATGTCATCCCAAGCAACCTACCTGTTGAGCCATCTACAAACAGGTGTGATATACGTACGTGTGTGTGTGTGTGTGTGTGTGTGTGTGTGTGTGTGTGTGTGTGTGTGTTGGGTATTTTTGATTTTTTTTTTTTTGGTTGGTTTTTGGTTTTTGAAGACAGGGTTTCTCTGTATAGCTTTGGTTTGGAATCTGTCCTAGAACTCACTCTGTAGACAAGGCTGGCCTTGAACTCATTCATCTGCCTCTGTTCATCTATCTATTTTGTAAGCATGTTTATGACTTTGTGTGACCTCTTCAACAGTGGCAGTGTCTTTCAGGGTATCCTAGATCATGATTATTGTATCTCAGAGTAAATTGTTTTCCTCTTCAGAAGAGCTATTCTTTAGTTGAGCATGCCTGGGTCTTACCAATATCATCCTTTATTCATCATGCTCCCAAAAGGCGGGTCCCACTCCATCTCATGAGAAACACTGGGCTCTAGATCCAACAGCTTTGATAGGCCAAACCACTAAGCGGATCGATCCCTTTCCTAGGACTGCCTAGCACCTGGATCACCACTGCAGCTGGCTGGCTGCCCTATGCATGTGGGTGGCACAGTAGTGTAAGTATGCTGGGTGACTGACTTCTCAGGACGCAGCCTGGCAGGTTTTCTATGGTGGTAAAAGCTGCCCTTCCCTGGTTCCTCCTTTCAGCAATCCCGGGGATCATCAGACCAGGGTCCTGTTTGCCTGGAATTCAAAGCTTTCCACCTTCCTGAACCTCTTACACTAAGTCTTCTCACACAACCAGGCTTTCCTCTCTTCTATCTGAAGACTATGATGGCCTTCCAAGGAATTTGGCCAGGAGCTTCATTTGCCAAGTCTACCTAAGTCTTCAGGCTTCCTCTGGAGAATCTCTTGTCGCATGATCCCAGGTCCTAAGGCAGCCTTTGCATCTCAGAGAGCGCCTGCAGGCAATGCAGAATCTCAGGTATACACATCTCTCTCTCTCTCTCTCTCTCTCTCTCTCTCACACACACACACACACACACACACGTGCGCGCGCGCGCGGTTCTATCAGGCTATTGAACTTAGCTTTTTTTTTAAATGTGTGTATATGTCATGTGTGCAGGTGCTGAGGGCAGGGAGGGCATCAGGTTCCCTAGAGCTGGAGAAACAGAGGTTGTAAGCCACCTAATGCAGGTACTGGGAACCAAACTTGGGTCCTTTGGACAAGCAGCATGCTCTCTTAACCGCTAAGCCATCTCTCCAGTCCCAGGCTGTACTGCACTTAATCGTTAATCCCCTTTGCAGGGGCACAGTGGTCCGTGCCTGTAGTCCCAGTTATTTGGGAGGCTGAGACTGAGACAGGAGCATCACTTGATCAGTTCTGGACTGTAGTGCTCTGTGCTGATCAGGTGTCCACACCAAGTTCAGCATCTGTACGGTGACCTCCTCAGGAACAGGGAGCACCAGGTTGCCTAAGGAGGAGTGAAGGGTTGGAAAGTCCATCCCCTTGGAACAGCAAGCACCTTATAGGAAGTTATTCCACAAAACACACTAGAGAAAAACGAAACAAAATTTAAAGAAAAAAACAAATAAAAACAAAACTCACATCATTATACAGATATGAAGTAATCATAGCTTTATTTAGAATGAAAAGCCTGGTCTCAAGAGGAAATGAAATGCCAGTAATAAGGGTGAAACACACTGATTATTACCAATATGGAAATACAAAATACTCTGTTGGGGTAAAAAGAAAAATCAAGCTTTATTCAAAGAAATACTGAAAATAAATGTTTTACAAATTGCAGTCGAGCACTTTAAGTGAAATTTTAGGAATGAATTCTCAGAATCTATACAATACATTCTGATATTGGCCAATGCAAAGTTTACTTGAAACTAGTATTTTAACAAATGCTTAACCTTCAATCATTTTAACATTCACTGATTATAACAATTCAACTGCATGATGTTAAGCAAGTCTCTTACGTAGAAATAACTTTTGAATACAAAACATTCACACCAGCAAGGAAATTATAAAAACGTATGTCAACGACTGCAGGACTGGATCTGAAGGCCGTGTACAGATGGTGGCGCTTCCCCTTAGATAGTTCCCACAGTCAACACTTGAGAGAGATGCCACTCACTCTCGTTCCTCTGGTACACGACCACTGCAGTTCCTAAGTGTCACTCCACTATGCATCAACTGAAAAATATATATATGTATCCAAAAAAATGTCTTTAAAGAGACAGACAAGTGGGATCTGGCCGCTGTGAGCAGAGCTTCACAAGAAGCCCGTCTGAAAATGACTCCCAGGGGCCACTGCGCAGTTCCTGCTCTCAGAAGGACAAGATGGTCTTGTTAATGATTTCCACTGACTCCCGGATCTCGTCCTCCTTGATTACAAGTGGAGGGGCTAACCTGATGATATCGCCATGGGTTGGCTTGGCCAAGAGACCATTATCTCGGAGTCGCAGACACACCTTCCAAGCATCGCAATCTACAGAAAAATGGTCACAATGTACACACAGAGATTAATGTATGACTACCCTTGTCACAGGCAAAGGCAGTGAGTGAGCCTCTGCAGAGAGTGTCCCCAGTGTCTGCTCTGGAGAAGAAGCTCTAAGTTGCTTGTTGCTTTGCTCAAGAGGCTGCATTACTGACTTTTTGGCAAGCACATAAAGTAGGTCTGGACGACATGTTAAGACTGTTACAGGCAGAGCACCCTTGTCTGCAGTGCTGGGGCCAGAAGGGCTCCTTCCAGATTCAGGAATGCTGGCATACACAGAAAGAGAGGACGTATCTTGGAAAAGGGGCCCATGTAAACATGAAACTCATATTTCACACTCACACAGCCTAAAGGTAATCTCACACAAGACTCTTAGTATACCTGCATTTTGATTATGGCCTGTCTCCTGGGATCAAGTATGGGATTTTCCTCCTCTGGTGTGATGGTGGCAGTCAAAACCTTTCAGATTTGGGACCATTTCAACTTCTCAGATTAGGGATGCCTAACATGCAATCATAAGGAGCTAATGTGAAAGGACTTGGGTAGGAGCCGCAAAATGAAATAATGGGATAGCCATCCCCCAATCCTAGGAACACTACACACTGCCGATAATGGACACACTTCCTGGCCATTCGGAACGAAGCATCATTTCCCAGCAGTGTTTCTCAGCCTGGCTGCAGGCAGAACTGCCTAGAACTGCCTAAGTCCACCCTATCTCCACCCGTCACATCAGTGGAACCTGCTCCCTTCCTTTCTCAAAGGCTCCTCTGCTGGAATCACTGCTTTAAAAGGAAGGGTTAGCCCAAGAAGACCCAGCAGGGTGCCCTGGAGGGTGATAACTGGTATCAGGCACAAGGAAGTCCCAAATCTTCATTATCTAGTATCCACATCGAAGTCATTCATTTTATTCCTACTGCTGCCTCTACAGCCTCTGCTGGATGGACAAAGCATTCAACTGAAGGGGAAATATTAACAGAAACTAATCAGGGATCACCAAGTGCTGCCTGACTAACAGAGGCAGGAAAGAACTGTCTGCAAGGAACAAACACTTGGTCAAAAGAGTGAAACATGCCTTCTCGTTGGAAAGATCTACATTTAGGATAACATTAATGCAATCAGGTCACATTCATCTAAATGGCTTGACCAACAGTCTAGTCCACTGTTAGAGAGGACTGCTCTACCCACTCTGTCTTTGAAAGGACTGTCGGCATAACGTGCTGGGGACATTACCTTTGGTTTCTCTGATGACGATGGCATTTAGCAATCCTTTCCCTCTTACACAAGTCACAACATCAGAGGGCAGCTTCATGAGCTCCTTTCTCAAGATGGAGCCCATCTTGTCTGCATTTTCAGCAAGATTCTCTTCTTCTAAAACCTGTTTTTTAAAAAAATCACAAACGTTAAGAGTGTCCTGGAGCAATCCATGAAAGGCTGGGAACAAAATGCACCTGTAATGAGACAAAGACCAGAGTGACACCACCTGCATTTGCTTTTCAGGGCCTGCATTAATTTCTAGCTAAACAGACAACCTCAGCGCCTTGCTTTAATCACAAATCCATTGTCAAACAGTCTTCGTGGCAAAATAAAGATTAAAATTTGTTTAATGCAAGCCAGGCAATGGTGGTGCACACCCTTAATCCCAGCACTCAGGAGGTAGAGGCAGGCAGATCTCTGTGAGTTTGAGGCCAGCCTGGTCTACAGAGCTAGTTCCAGAACAGCCAAGGCTACACAGAGAAACCCTGTCTTGAAAAAACAAATTCTTTAGTGCAGTATGCTGTTATTATTGGAACACCTCAATGGAGTAAGTCTAATTTAACTTGAAACTGCAGCAGAATTGCTTTTTGTCCTCCCCCTAACATATTACTGTATCTTACATTTACTTTCCTGGGCTGGCTTTAAACTTGTGACTACCCTGCCTTTTAGTTTCCCTAGTGCTGGGATCACAGTGGTGTACCACCATCCCTGATTTCATTTTTACCTGTGTGATACATTTTTATCTGTGTTGAAATCAAACCCAAGGCCTTCCTCTTCCACTGAACTAAGACCACCAGCGCTCAAATCCGAGTTTGAAAAAAAAAATAAAAGGGAAAAAGAGCTTTGTGATCCCCTGTAATCCTAGCACTTGGGCAGCTAAGGCAAGAAGATTTCGAGCTGTCTAGCTTGGGCTACACGGTAAATTCCAGGCCAGTGTGAACTACAGAGTGAGACCTTGATTTGAATAAAACAGACAAACAAGAAAAAAACAAATCTTGCTTTGCTAAACCAAAGGGGCCTAGAAGGTGGTCATCGTACAGGAGCTCTGCCACTGCCGGGAGACTGACTATAGACTGGAGCAGCCCAGGAGTCCAGTGCTAACATTGGGGAAGGCAAAAAGTACCGTCCTTCTTGAGAATGCCTTGCTCCTGAAACCTTCCCCCCATACTTCATGTTCTCTAACACTTGGCAATCGTATTAAACTTCTTATCACACCAGGACTCAAATTAAAAATAATTTCAACACTACTTCAAAGCAGGGATCATTCAGCCCTATCAGTTTTCACCTCAAGAGCTGCAATGGCAATTCGGCAGCCTAGTGGATTGCCGCCGTAGGTGGAGCCGTGTTCTCCTGGTTTAATGGTCAGCATTATCTCGTCATCACACAGCACTGCAGACACCTGAAAGACAGACCCGCCGTGTCATTCCTCACATTCTCAGCATGCCAGGGACACAGATACTTCTGTACTGCTGATATTAAAGTCGATCAGCCAGCAGTTTACATCTGCCCCGACTCTCAGTAATAACTAAGTAATAACTAAGACAGGCCTTCTTAGAACTAAAAGAAATAAACTTTTTTATTATTATTTTATGTGGATGAAGTGTTTTGTCCACATGTATGTCTATGCAACAGTGCCCATGGAAACCAGAAGAGGGTGTTGGATCCCTTGGAACTGGAGTTACAGATGGTTGTGAGCTGCCAGGTGGGAGCTGGGAACTAAACCCAGGTCCTTTGGAAGAGCAGCCAGTGCTCTTAACCACTTAGTCATCCCTGCAACCCAAGCAGAGCTGTTTTTGCAATGAGATAATTTATAGTCCTTTCCAAAATGCTCTGCTTAGAAAACAAACTTGGGTATTCTCTGCAAGAAGACAATTCAGTCTACTCAGCAGGAACATCTACTCTTCAAAGTCCTTTCATCCCACATCAATTACTGGCTCTGGATACAAACCCCAAAAAAGAACAAATGTTCCCATCTTACATTCATTGTTCGAGGTCTTGAACAATTAGTAGTACCAGTTTCTGAAAAATGGGAGGAGGAACTTCTGAGGGAAATGCTTCTGTCCAAATCAAATGCCACAACACATCCCAAAGCACACACTCCACTTGGTCAAAACTAACCAAGCGGACCACACAAGGGAACTCTAAAATGTTCCAAGTGGCCTTTACCACACCCGATCAAATCAAATGACTTGAAAGGTATCCCGATCAAGGTCAGAAGAAATAAAGGGACATTGAACTTACAGGGTATAAGCCACCAGAAAGGGCCTTCCCGAGAAGAACTATGTCAGGTCTGACATTCTCATGATCCACAGCCAGCCATCTACCAGTTCTGGACAATCCTGTCTGTATTTCATCAGCGATAAACAGGACCTGGGAGGGACAACAGACAATACAACTGTCATTCTCACTTCACGGGGAAACAAAGACCACTATCATGTTAACCCTCTCACTAAGTGTCTCTCCGGTGCACCCTGCAATCTGTGAAGATGTTTTCAGCACCCACACAATTTCAGTGGTGTCCTGTGGACATCTGTTTGCCGTGTCAGGCTAACAGCCCCCAGAGGCCCGTGTGGCACTCACTGCTTTGCATGGCAGAAAGGCACTTACTCAAACATCAGGAGTCTGGAGGGCTTCAATGGCCCTAATTTCACTCGAAGAACAAACTCAGATAATTAACTCCTATATAATCATCAAATATTTTTCTGGAATTCTCAATACTAAGCAAAATACACTACTAGCCTTGTGAAAGAAAAGGAAGAAGGGTCGTAACATTTAGAGCCAAGGAACACAAGACAGGGCTTGGGAGGGATTAAGAGTGCAAGGCTCCTAGAGATGAGAGAAGAAAATCCCAGTAAGAGCCTGGAGGTCTGCGGCGGCGGCAGTCCTCAGCACAGTGTCTCACCAGTGTTCTAGAGACTGAAAAGTTACCGTCACAGAGGGTTCTAAGCATTAGAATGTTCCTAACTCTCGAAACTCATCTAGTGGAAAGTGAGATAATCACGTATCCTGTCAGAGAGTTCAAACAAGTCAAACAAGTTTGGCCTCCCTGCCAAGTCCGCGGGACCACCTGGTACCTGGTGCCTGGTGCAGAGCTCTCGAACACCCGTCAGGTATCCTGGATCTGGAACAATAACACCTGCTTCACCCTGGATGGGCTCCACCATGAAGGCGGCAACATTGGGATCCTGAAGAGCACGCTACAAAAGAAACAGAAGGGAGTTCTAATAGCTTCCATTCTACCATATTTGGTAATTGAAGTCAAATACTACACATACTTCCTGTTGTTAAGAATAAGAATGAAGCCGGGCGGTGGTGGCGCACGCCTTTAATCCCAGCACTCAGGAGGCAGAGGCAGGCGGATCTCTGTGAGTTCGAGGCCAGCCTGGTCTACAGTGCGAGATCCAGGAAAGGCGTAAAGCTACACAGAGAAACCCTGTCTCGAAAAACCAAAAAAAAAAAAAAAAAGAAAAAAAAAAAAGAATAAGAATGAAAAAAAAAAAAAAGAATAAGAATGAGAGACTTAGCAGTTTAGAACACTTGTTGCTTTTCCAGAGGATCTAGGTTTGATTCCCAGCACTCATATGGTGGTTCACAACCATCCATAACTCCAGTTTCAGGAGCACCAGGCATACATACATGCAGGCAAAACACTCAAATTAATTAATTAAGTGTGTGGGGGGGGGTGATGATGATGAAGCCCGGCATGGTGGTTCATGCTTATAATTGCAGGACTCTAGCATGCTAGGTTTATAGGCATATACCACTATCCAGATTATCCCCACATTTTGCTACATCATAGATGTATTATAACTAAAAGCTAAGGCAGGAGCTGGAAAGATGACTCGGCCATTAAGAGCACTCACTGGCTACTCTTGTCAAGAACCCCGGTTCCATTTTTAGCACCCACATGAGGGCTCACAACTGTCTTTAGGTCCAGTTCCAGAGGATCCAATGCCGTTTTCTGGCCTCCTTGAGGCTGTACACACATGGTGCATTTATATGCAGGCAAACACTCACATAAACTTTTCTTAAAAAAACTAAGTGGCCTGTTAAAGCCATCTTATGACTTTTTTGTTTGTATTTTACAAAAGTACTCCACTTTGGAGATGGGATATACCTCAATGGTAGAACAACTGCCTAGAATCCACAAAACCTTGGGTTCCTTCTCTAGCACCACAAATAAAGTACTGCAATTTATAAGTCTTAAAAACATTTTATCTAGGCCAGGAGTGATGGTACACTACTTTAATCTCAGCACTTGGGAGGCAGCAGAGCCAGGCAGATCTCTACGAGTTCAAGACTGGCCTGGTCTACATACTGTTCCAGGCCAGTCAAGGCTTCAAAATGAGAGTCTATCTCAAAAGAAAGAGAATGAAAGGAAGGAATGGAGAGAGAGAAAGAAATTAATTTGATACAGTAATTAACTGGGTAATATTCGAGTTGTTATGATCTGAACTGGCTAGCTGGCCTACTAGATGACAAAAGCAGATCTCCCTGGGTTGGACCCTGACTGCCCACTACTGAGAATGAGTCTCACATTTCAGCCTACCTTACAATGGATTTTCAGACTCATATAACTTCATTTGTTCTGAGGTACTGGGGTCAAGCCCAGGACCTCACACATGCTGTTTGACCAAGGAGCAACCTCCCCTATCCTCATTAATGATTTTAATTTTTGAATGTGAGCATTTATCTGTTATGTAAGTATGGTAAGTACGTATCTGCACCACAGGCATGCCTGTTACCCAAGATGGTCAATGTTAAGAGTCCCCTGAACTAGAATTACAGAAGGTTGTGGGCTTCTAAACTGGCGTAAGGAACTGAACCTAAGTCCTCTGCAAGAGCAGTATATGATCTTAATCATTAAGACATCTCTCCAGCCCCCTCATTAATGTGTTTTTAATCCACATACTGAACAGGTCATAATTAATTCAAAATAGTTTCCAGTTGCTATGAGCCAAGTACCATAGCCCCCTGATGTACCTCCAGTGCAGGCAGATCGTTATATGGGATAGTTTCAAAGCCTGGCATGAAAGGTCCAAAGCCTTCATAACTGGTCGGGTCTGTGGAACTGGAGATTGCAGACAATGTTCGACCCCAAAAGTTTCCATCTAAAAGGAAAGACAAATAGTGACTATTCCAAAGAAACCTACAAGTTCAGTAATACTACTCTACAAGCACCTTGGGAAGCCGGACTAAAAATAAAGGGTTATTTAGAGAACCTCTGTGAACTTTCAATTACTCAAACAAAATCTGATACTAATTCCAATGGTTCCCCTGCCAGCAGCCAACAGGTCTCCTTCGAATTACTATTTTAGACACTTCTCTACGGCACTTTTCTCAGACCCACTCTAACCAAAGCCTCACAACTGAGACATCCAAGCATGGTTTCTGGACAGAGAAGGAACATTTACAACAGGAATGTGAGAAGAGAATGTCCTGCATAATGACCAGCAGTTTCCTTTTTTTTGTTTTGTTTTGTTTTTTGTTTTTGGATTTTTGAGTCAGGGTTTCTTTGTCCTAGAACTCACTCTGTAGACCAGGCTGGCCTTGAACTCCACCTGCCTCTGCCTCCTGAGTGCTGGGATTAAGGGCATGTGCCATCACTGCCCAGCAGCATTTTCCTTTTGATAGCCCAATACTGCAAGCTACCTACTGAACAGAATGCATTTTCAAATTCACTTACAGCAAAGATCCTCAGACAATCCAAATACTTTCCATGTTGCCTGCCTTGACATTATAATCCTCCATAATGCTAAATGGAACAGACGTCTGCCTTTCCTCAGGATCATGTTTTTTTCTATTAATAAATGTGGCTGGGGGCCACTGGAGGCCAGGCACTACTCCAGGACAGGGGATGGACAGGTAATTAGCCTGGGAGCTGCCTGTCCTCAGAGCCTCCACTCTGGTAAAAAGCAAACATCCTAACATCGGCCAGCAAAGTAAACAACTGCATCATTTCAGCTGGGGTTAAACTCAACCATGAACAATACAGTAAAGAGACCAGGAATTCATCTCACTAACGATGTGTTGACATCTCCACCACCTATGCCAGCGGTAACTCAATGACCTCAGTACTGGGTGGTTGTATCTTAGCTTCTTGGCATCTCTAAGAACACTCTTGCAAAAGCATCTGTCACCTGGGTCTCTGACTCATGCGTCAGCCCATCTTTTTCTCATCCACATACAAAAGCATATTCGTTAAGATAACAAGCACCAATGTGACCAGGAGCCAACTTGTTCTCCTCTCCCTAGCCTCAGGGATCTCATCCTGCAGCTCACTCTGCAGGAACAGACCATCTTTCACTGTCATTTCAGCCCACTGACTCATCAGACTCTTTCAATACAATGTAAAAATACCTTTGCACCCTTCACTAGTATGAAAGAGACTGTACAGTCTATAACCGAAATGACATTCTGTTTAGAACAGCCAGCCAGGATACCCACAACTAAAACACAGGATTTTACAATGGTAAATTACAAGCAGTCGCTTATGAAGCCACAACTATGCTGCTGGGTTAGGCCACCCTTTTTCTGAATTACTCAGAAAAACGCAACCGTTCCCATTTCCTCTTTTCTGTCTCTTCTGGATGCTGGCAAGCGCCTAACTACTATACTTTCTCTTGTACATTAGGCTTTTCCATGCTTTGGTGAAGCCCTCCCTCATGTCTGCCATGTAGCTGCTCATCTGCCATGTGGCTCCTGTCGTCTTCTTCTGTGTCCCTCCTCTGGGCAGCTTCAGGATTTACAGCTTGTCTCCCTATAGCTCTTCTTTTAACCTTGAATAAAATGTCTTTGAGTTTTAAAAAACAAAAATGGAGCCAGGTGGTGGCACGCACCTTTAATCCCAGCACTTGGGAGGCAGAAGCAGGCAGACCTCTGCGAGTTCCAGGCTAGCCTGGTCTAAAAAGTGAGTTTCAGGACTCCAGGGCTGTACAGAGAAACCCTGTCTAGAAATGCCACACACAACCCCCACCTTCCCCACCTCTCCCCCTCCCCACAAAAAACAGTGGTGAGTTATAGAATCATGGCAACATTTCATCAGATCGTAATCTGTCACCTCAAATATTAATTGACTCTGGTCATAACTTTATTATGCTATAGGATTTATAATTTAACTGTATGTATTCACCAGAAAAAGCAAAAATGGATTTGACCACAAAATCAGCACATACTTCTTTTTTAACTAAAATCAAAATTTTAAAAAGCCAGAATCTACCATTTGAATATCCCACAAAGATTATCATCTCAAATTACATAATTGCAAAAAACTGTAAGTCTCTTAACAAGAATTCAAAGTATTCCTTCTCAATCATTCTTAGAAGTGTGACAAGGGCAGCTTCAGCCTCCTGTTCCTGATAGTTTCTTAGAACACAACACGAGGGCATATTCACTATTAGAACCAAAATCTTGACCACAAGCCAACATGGTGAGGCACGCCTTTAATTCCAGCACTTGAGAGGTAGTAGCAGGCAGATCTCTGTGAATTTGAGGCCAGTCTGGTCTACAAAGTGAGTTCCAGGAAAGCCATGGCTATATAATAAAACCCTGTCTCAAAAACCAACAAAAAATGTTGGCTATAGATGCTCAGTGATAGAATGCTTGTATAGTAAACACAAGGCCCTGCATTTGAAACTTAGCACCAAGAAAGAAAAAAGCAACTAGAAAACAGCTATGAGGGAAATGTGGTAAGATGAGAAATGAAATCAAAGTCACTTACTTCAAGGGAAGATTGAGGAGCTAAGAAAGAAAAATCTTGAACTAGGGATGTGGCTCAGGAGTAGAGCATTAACCTGGCTTCCATTAGATCTTGAATTCATTCCACAGCATCACAAAAGGAAGATCTCATACATCAAGAAGTAATGTAGAAATCCAAGAAGGAATTCCCCCACCAACCTTTATAAAACTGTCCAGAAATATTATGTAACAATTAAATTCACATACCAGCAAAAACAATCTTTGCTTTGTATTTCTGGATGCCTTTCACGGTGTAGCCCCAACGACGAGCAAGCTTACAGGCAGTCTCTCCAGCCTCCACTCCTGTTGTGGGGAAAACGCTTAGATTTTACTAAAGGTACAAATGATCAAACAGCTTAGCATGGGGCGCACAACTGAATCCCAGTCACTTGAGAGATTAGTTCAGGAAGATGGCCAATTCAGGACCAGCCGTGGCAATCTAGAGAGATGCTAAGTAAACACAAATAAAGAAACGATTGATTGACTGATTGATTGAGTGATTGATTGATTGGGAACCTAACAAGAATGGAACTGTTTTACCTGTATTCATCGGAAGAACTTTGTGGTAGTTGAAAAGCTTGGTAATGTACTCCTCATATTCACCAAGGACGTTGTTATAGAAAGCACGCGACGTTAAGGTCAGTTTGTCCACCTGACTCTTCATAGCATTTATGATCTTGGGGTGGCAGTGTCCTTGGCTGACAGCACCATAAGCACTCAGGAAGTCCAAGTACTGCCTGCCTTCTACATCCCACACATAGATGCCTAAAATACATAGGGAAGAAAAAAGAATTTGAGTCTCTGTATGCCATAGACCCCCAAACTGAAGACTGATTTTTTTAAGCCCCCTCCACACCTACACATGAAATTCTATTTAATATATTTTTATGCTTAAAACTTGGTTTAGTGGCTGGAGGGTGGTGGCTCACACCTTTAATCCCAGCACTCGGGAGGCAGAGGCAGGTGGATCTCTGAGTTTAAGGCCAGCCTGGTCTACAGAGAGAGTTCCAGGACAGCTACAGAGAAACCCTGTCTTGAAACTGCAGCCCCCACACCCACCCACCCCCCCAAAAAAAACTTGGCTTAGTGCAAGCCTATTAAACTTTGATTGAGAAAGAAGTATTAAGGCTATATTTCATCTGTCTACCTCTGACACATATATTTAACAGAACAGTATCTGTAACTCTGTCATTTCCAATTTTGTTTTTTAGTGGTAAATAAGCACATAAAAATATACCCAATAGTGAAAGTGTAAAATCCAGTGTGAAGGTCCACAGCTTCCATTCCAAATGGTTAGTCTAACTGTATAGGAGTTTACTGAGATATATAGACTTTGGGTCTGGTTAATTTCAGTGTGTGATGTTATTTTTATATATTATAATAAAGTTTATTTAAAAAGAGAGAGAGAAAGAAAGAAAGGAGGGAAGGAGGGAAGGAGGGAGGGAGGGAGGGAGGAAAGGAAGGAAGGAAGGAAGGAAGGAAGGAAGGAAAGGAAGGAAAGGAAGGAAAGGAAGGAAGGAAGGAAGGGGTTATAACCTCTTTACCAATTTTAATTTCAGGAGCCAAAAATTTGAATTTACAAAGAAGTTACACAAAATAGACAAATACCTTGTAGAGACTACAACCGACCATAGAACAGGGGTATTTGCAAACCATATGCCTGGTAAGGACTTAGTATCCGGAACTCAATGATGATACCAACAAAAACGACTAGGCATGGTGGCACGTACCTCTAATGCCATCACTGAGAGAAGAGAGGCAGGAGGATCAGGAGTTCAAGGCCAGCCTAAACCAAGCAAGACCCTGTTTTTTAAAATGGTAAAAATAACTTGCTAGCATTTCTTCAAACACATACAGATGTTAATATGAATGTGAAAAGATATATAATACATCACCAGCCATTAGAGAAATGCAAATCAAAACAAGGAGATACTATTTGCAACTGCGGCAAGTCCAAGACCAGCTTGAACTACACACTGAGAGCCTGTCTCTCTACCATTACCAAAAATTAAACAAAAACAGTACAGCTGCTCTGAAAAAAGTTAGCCATTCTGAGCTAGGAAGATGGCTCAGTGAGTATGAGCTCTTGCTATGCAGGCATGGCATGAGGACCTGAGTTTGAGTCCCCATATCCCACATTTAAATGAAGCTGGGCATGGCCACACATTCCTATAACCCTAGCATTAAGCACAGAGATGGGCAGGTCCCAGGAGTTCACTGGCCAACTTCATGTTCAGCAAGAAACCCTGCCTCAAGGGAATAAAGCAGAACCTCAGAGAGTAAGACACCTGACTTCCTCTTTTGCTCCTGCTCAGGCACAGGCATCTCACATATATACATGGTTATTTTAAAAGGTTGGCAGTTCCTCTGCAAGCCAAGCACAGAGTTATTGCATGACCTAGCAATTCTATTCCAGGGATCAATTCAGGCAGTGCCAAACTTTTAAGAAACACTAGCTTACAGGGCTGAAATAACTCAGTTGGGAAAGTGTTACAATGAAGAAATACTGGCCCAGGGAAGAAGGAGAAGGAAGAATGTGGGGGGCCCCAAAACAGCTTGACCACACAGCTGCCATTATAGGCTTAGAGGCCCAGACACAGCTTCCCGCAGGCAACACATGAACCCAGGAAAAGCCATAAGCTGACTTCATCCAGTGGGGCCTGCATCTAAGAGGAAATACCTGACATTCCAAACATTCCCTATACCCCCAGACAAATGTCAGCCAATTGGGGTCCTGAACCCTGGAAATCCCCTCACCCCAACCTCTGCTATGATTAAAAAAAAAAAAAAAAACCCACCCTGCCTGGGCTCTGAGCTCTCTGCTCTCACCCCTGCACTGGACAGACAGAAAGACCAAGCCCCAGAGCTTGAAATAAAGGCTCTTTGCTTTTACATACGAGATTCAGTCTCCGTAGTGGTCTTTTGGGGGTCCCCACGTTCTGGGCATAACAAACCCAACAAGAATTAGAGTCTTGGTCTAAAGTTCCTTTTGTAATTCAGGACATAAAAGAAAGGTGGATTCCTGCTAGGTTGTTGACTTCCTGATTCTGATGATCACATGTGCACATAAAAGATAAGGTTCCTGCAGACCTTAGAAAAGACACGCTGACTATCTAGGAGTGAAAGGCTAGAAAACAGGACGATCAGGGGCCAGAGGGAGGAGAGAACACAACAAATAAAGGCCTCAGCGATCTGCATGAAGAGGAAAGAAACATTTTACTATCATCATAATTTTTTACTAGAGTTATGTCAAAATAAAAACTAATAGTTAAAAAGAAAAATTGGTGGTGATGTCACATTCCTATTTCTTCTGCATGTCCCCTAGGTGAGGCCACCATGGGGAAGACCCACTGGCACAGGAACCCTAGACACTGAGTAAAGTCGAAGGAACACTATCCACAACACACATTCAGTGAGGGATGGACTTGAGAAAATACAAAACGACTAATTCTTAGAACAGCAAATGTGGGGGTGGGTTAATGAGAACATACCTTTTCCTCTCTCCAGGGCTACAGGTAAAGGATGGTAATTATGTGCACCATACTTAGATTCCCGTTCAAAAATGTACTCAGAGGATGGTGGGCCTTGGACTGTCTTCTTAGTTGCAACAGATGCGGTAGAGGCGACTGAGGCATGGATTCCTCGCCTCAGAGCAGCAACAGACTGCAAACTTGCTAGTTTGGAAAACATTGTGTGGGTCCTTTAGGAATGGAAGTACAGAGACCTGTCCAAAGCAACGAGAAGGCGCTCAGTGAGAACCTTTCCAGGGTCAACGCATGTCTGTTCACTAAGTAACTGCTGAGCATCTACCACAGTCAATATCCAGCCTTTTCCTATCAGGTGTGCAGAGCACAAGGCAGACATCAGGGCGCCAAGTCAGAGGCCAGAGCTGCTGGGCGCCCATGAGTCATGGGGTAGGAAGCAGGGGCTACGAACCATTTGCACTTTTTTAAAGCCCTGGCCGGTCTTCAACTCTGGGTTCAAATGACCATCTGGAGCTAGGACTACAAGCAGCACATGCCTCATCCTCTCTCGACCCCACTCCGGCCCTGCAGGACCACCACCACCTCTATTCTCTGTTTTACATTTTTACTCTGTCCCGGTATGCAAGTAGTGAAACAATAACAAATGTGGTTTTAATCTAGATGAGGTAACCCCAGCATTTAGGAGGCAAGATGATCAACACAAGTTCCAGGCTAGCCTGACCTACACAGTAAGTTCCAGACCAGCCTGGGCTACAAGTAGCCTCCGTCTCAAAATAGAAAGGTTGGGGGGAAGAGACAGAGGGACTGAGCCAGAGAGATGGCTCTGCGGTTAAGAGAATCTGCTGCTTCTACAGAAAACCTGGGTTCAGGTGTCGGCACCCACATGGTGGCTCACAACTGTCTGTAACTCCAGGGGATCCAGCACCCTCTTCTGACCTCTGCAGGCACCAGGCACCCACATGGTGCACATATATACAAGCAGACAAACATTTAATACATATAAAATTTTAAAAAAAAAATCTTAAAAAATGGAGAGAGACAGGAAAAAGTAACTTTTAGAGGCTAGAAAAAGTTTAGCACCCAAACTACAAAAGGTAGAATGTGTCATTTAGCACAAATATCTAAAACTCCTGGAAGTCAAACTGAGCATAAACAAAGGCAAGAAGACTTGTTCTGGGATTCATCAAGAGTCTTGAGCTTTTACAGTAACAAACACAAATATATACATAGATGAAAAGGGAATGGCTATTTCTATAACCCCAGCCACCACACACACACACACACACACACACTAAAAAGAGGTATCAAAAAATCAACTGTTCAGAGAAGAAAACAGTAATGTCGACCAAGAGAATATCAAAGCACAAACAGCTAAGCTAGGTGTATGAATTTCCGAGCACACTGGTGCTCACTCACACTATTTACATTTTTCAGAATCAGGCTACTCTCTCTGCTCCAGTCCTAAAACCAGGCTCCACCAGTGTTCCCCTGACTTCTGTGCGCACTGCTCACCATTCAGATCACAGCAGGCAAAGAGCCTGAAACAAAGACTTGTAAGGAAGGGACCACAGGAAAGGGGAAATAAGAGCGTGCAGAAGTGCCATGTCCTGGGGGCAGAGGGGGGAAACAGTTGAAGATAAATTCTAGATTAGGGGACAGTTACCCAAAGCCAGGCACGCCTGGGATGTCTATATCTCCTTATTTTTTTAAAAAGACAAATAGCTAATTCATGTTTCAACAAAATTCTCTAACAAGTCAAACCATGCATAATCCTAGCCTTCTTGACTAAGCTGCCAAGTCAGCCGATCACAGGGCTTGGCTAGCTTTCACCTTGGCTCTCACTCCGTACTAAAAATCCAGTGCGGTTCAAGAATCTGCAATCACTAATCAAACCCCACAACTCTGTCTGGTTTGCCAAGAACTTGCTGTTATTCTTTCTTCCCACGGTCAGACCAGAGTACGGATCTGAAACTCAAGCTCTAGGGACTGGCTTGAGAGGATCCCAAGGACTCCTAAAGTAAAGCACACAATTATATACAAAAGTACATTTTCCTAAGGAAAAGATCTGCAACTTCCACGGTATTTTCTCTCACACTAACAAAAACAATGCAAGAATCACTGGAAATGGCGGCTAACGAAAACGTCTAACTGTACTACAAAGAACTGGTCCCCATCACCACCACTAAGTTAAAACACCTATTTATCAGTTCTTTCTAGGCTCTTTACAGTCTATACAGTATATGCTGTTTGAGCTACTAAAAACTTAAAAATTAAGTATTAATTTTTGCCTAGCAAATAAGCATAAAACATGCTTTCCCAGCTAGGCAGTGGTGGTACATACCTTTAATGCCAGCACTAGGGAGGCAGAGGCAGGCAGATCTCTGTGAGTTCGAAGCCAGCCTAGACTACAAAGTGAGTTCCAGGACAACCAGAGGTACACAAAGAAACCCTATCTCAGTAAAGAAAAATATGCTTTCTCAGATACTTCTTAGGAGAGCACTTACATACACACAGGCAAAACACTCATACACAAATAAATAAATAAATCTTTAAAATCAGTTTCTAATGACACGGCAAGGTATTTTAGGATATGTTTAAGTAAAGAAAATAAAATTATACATACAGGATGTTCAATTATGCAAAGAGTATTAGAAAAAAAACTATTAAGGAAAGAAACAAAAAAGTCACTGTGACTATCTTTAACTATTCTCTATTTCCTACAATGACCATAAATTGTATTTATGGTACTGGGCAGTGGTGGCACACGCCTTTAATCCCAGCACACAGGAGGCAGAGGCAGGCGGATCTCTGTGAGTTTGAGGCCAGCCTGGTCTACAGAGTGAGATCCAGGACAGGCACAAAACTACACAGAGAAACCCTGTCTCGAAAAACCAAAGAAAAGAAAACAATGTTGTTTAAAGAAAAGTATAGTCAATACTCCAAGGAAGTGCAGCCTTGGGTCCACTAGGTCACCTATTTATAGGCAAAGGATCAAACTTTAAAATAAAAATGACTCTCATACTTTTGCTACCGAAGTCTATAGCCCTGCTTTTTCAATAGGCAGAAATATACTCAAAAGACTGGTTATTGAAAACAACCCTAAAAATGCTTCAACAGTGTATTTTTACAGATTGAAATAGGACTGCAGAAGGGGGCTGGGGAGGACTGTAATCCCAGCACTTGGAGGAGCTGAGAAGGAGGGTTTCCAGTCCAAGGCTAGACTCAGCTGACCCAAAACAAACCTTCAAGGAGAAAGAACCTAAAGAAGGCTACCTAAACTCAACTTACCTCAATTCACACAAGAATTACCTGCTCAGCTACAATCTATTTATCTGCTGGGTCCCCTCAATTTTATACAGAATGACTATTATCAGTAGCCTAACAAAAACATCCAAAACATGAGTAATACCCTCCAAGTTCTCAAAAGTAGATCTCTGGATATTTTCCTTAACTGGGAAAGATCAGAGGTGCCCAGACCACGATATATCAGAATTTACTGTGCACATTTCCATTAAAGAGTCTCTGTGTTCAAGTTACTGAGTTTGTACTGTATGAGAACTATTAGAACAAAATACTAATTAAAGTGGCCTTTAAAATAGCCATCAAGAATCTTCTCTAGGCTTGGGAAATGGTCAAGAAATCCACAGTGGTAGAAAATGGTAGAAAACGCACAGCGTTTCACTATTTAAATTCTGTCTGTGGCTTTAGGAGGTGGATGCGTCAGTCTTTCTGAACTTCAGTTTCCCCATTTGTCAACTGCAGCTGAAGCCATTCACGGGCGTCTTGAGGAGTTCATGTTAAAGCTCCAGGTTCAGCACAAAGGAGTCATTCATTCGGTTCTCTTCTGCTCTAAGTTCACAGGAACACTAGCCAATTTCTACCAAAAAACAAAACAAAACAAAAAAAAAAACCCCACTGCCATGGTGTCCTTTTTAAACTGGGCTATTTTCTTTAAAAAAAAAAAAAAATCCTACATATAGGCCTGAGGATCAGTGAGTAGAGTACTCGCCTAATGTGCCTGAAGCCTTAGATTCCATCTCCAACACCAAAAACACCGGAGAAGCAGAGGTAGGAAGATCACGAGTTCAAGATCATCCTTGGCTACCCAAGAAGTTAGAGGTGGTCAGGCACTCTGACATCCACCATTAATCTCTGAACTCTGGAGGCAGAGCCGGATGGATCCAGCCAACCTGGTCTACACAGCGAGTTCCAGGTCAACCAGGGCTACAGAGTGAGACCCTGCCTTAAAATTAAATAAACAGAAATCAGACAAGTAAAAAGGAGTAACCAGCCATGTCTCAAGAAAATCACCTAGCCTGGGTAAGGGGCTTCTGCTGACATTCTCTCGTCTGCCAAGTGAACGAGGTCCTTACTGAATCCAACTCCTAAGGGAGGCAAGAAAGCAACAGAAAGCGACCCAGACTGGAGAGGGAATGAGGCCACCCCACCCCGCATCAGGGTAAGTTAACTCTGAGAGGCTGCCTCTCTGTCCTCCCGTGCAGAAGTTCATCTTCTCATCAAAGCTTCACTCTTGGACCTAATAGCTTTCAGTCCTCAAAGGGCAAAATAATGTGTTGCTAAACACATTACTATTCACTTATTATTTATATTTACTATTTTTGTATTATTTTCTTGTTATTTACATTAAGCAGACATAAGGGCCCAGAAATGAGAACAAGTTCTAATGGTAGGTCGAGAACTCTGAACACCTAACATTTAATTTCAAAGCCATCACTGTTCACTACCTTTTATCAGCCCACAGCAATGTTTCCAAAGTACAGTGTCCATAAAGGGCTGCACTTGGAAGAATTTGTTTAGTCTGCCTTATTAAATAACGTTTTCCTAAATTACTCGAAAAGAATCACCAATGTAAAGTCATCCAAAAGCCATTGAAAATATTCAGCTTGAGAAGTAAATTTGGTTTGGCTATTGTCAAATATTTACTTTTCTGAGGTAACCATTCACAAATACAGGCCTTATTTTTTGAAGTTCTGCCAACAAAAGCTTTGTTTTACGTAACCAATATTCTGGCTAAAATTCACCTCAAGTGCGTCACAAGCAAACAACTAATACTACTGAAAAAGGATTGGACCAGCTGCACCGCACCCTCCACACACCTCCAAATCACTGCCCATTCATTACTGTTTTTAAAAGTATGGAATCTGACTCATCCTTAAGAACTCAGCAAAGGGCGTAAAATACAAACGCAAATAACTATAATAAAAATAGACTGTAGAAGAAAAATATATGAAACAGGGAAAAAATACCTTTAAAAATAAATTCTGAATAAAGTTTCGGGGGCTGGAGAGAAGGCTCAGCAGTTAAGATCACTATTCTTCCAGAAGACCAGAGTTTGGTTCCCAGCACCCACATTACATGGCACAACTAGAGAGAACTCCTGTTCCAGAGGGATTGGACCTCTCTGGCCTCAGAGAGCATCTGCATTCATGTGCGCACGCACACACGCACACACACACACACACACACAATTTAAAAAAATCATAAATACAGTTTCAGGTTACATGAAACTAATTTACCCACAGACACTCTGACAATCCTGATTGAGGAGATTTAGGATGGAGAAATTGGAGGTTATTCAGTTGGAAAGGACACGTCATTCCAAAAATCACTCTTTCTCCTCTCTCAATATATCTTGACACATCTACAAGGTAAATAAATGCACTACCAGGCATGATGTAGGCCTGAGGCAAGGTTTACTGGCATCAGAACTTCCGCGCAATTAGCCTGGAATTTTCTGAGGTTCAGCATCGTTTGCGAAAGGTCTGGAGGAGTGACGGGGTGGGGTTGGGGGTCTTCGTGCCGAAAGCCCTGTGGGCCAATCCCTAGCCAACATCTCAATAATGTACACGTCACTTCCTCAATCCTCTTATTTGGTTTAGGGCTGCAGAGAAAGTGGAGAGTGGGGAGGGAAGGGCAGGAGCAGTCGCGGGACACAGGGGGCTGCCCGAAGAACTCGGGCTCGGTCCGCATCAGCGCGCCCCCCTCACCCCCCCACCCCCCGCCCGGTGACAGGGCCACGCGATCACTGCTCTGTCCCCAGGGATCCGACCCCCGGCAGCCAGGCAGCTCGAGCCGCCACCTTCTCGAAAGCCGAGGCCTCGGAAGGCCCCAGCGAGTGCCCGGAGGGCGACGAGCCCGAGCTGTGTCTGGCAGGCAGCCGTGCCACGTCTCCGGCCTCCGGTTCCCTGCTCATCCCCTTGCCGAGCCCGCCCCGCCCCGGGGATGTGCCGCACCCAAGACCGGCACAGCCGTGCGCTGCCCCGGCTGAGACTCTGGGACACCTAGCAGGTCCCGAGCCGCTCCCGCCCGGTCCCGGCGCGCGCTTGATACCTGACAGCGTCCGCTAGGCGCGAGCCACGGCACTTGGATCGCAAAGCCCGATGTGGCCGCCCGGCGCGTCACGCCGTTTAAGACGCCCTGTCTGCCCCGCCCCGCCTGCGCTTGCAGTTCATTGGCTGAGGCGGAGGGCCGCACACCAATCACACGAGGCTCTCCCTCGCCCCACCCACCCGGCCTTGAGCCGCAGGGCGCCAAGCTCCGCTGCTCTCGGTAAACGTGCAGTCTGTGTGTGTGTGTGTGTGTGCGGCGCTTCTGCTCTGGACTGGATTCAGGAGCAGTTCGCTGTCTTTTACAGGCAGGGAAACAGAGACTCGAAGGGATGCTGGCATCCCACGGCGTTTCCCTGGCCGACGGACCCTCCAAAGCCTTTCCTAGAAGAGCCTCTTAGGAGCAACATCATCTCCTCTTAGATGCTGAAATCACATGACTTTGAACCCTCACGCGCCAGAATGGCGGAACAGCTTACTGATACTTCCAGGATCATCTTTGCAGCTGTAAAACACTGCCTAGCTGTTAACTGTTGTTAGTAATCGTTGTAAATGACAGCAACCCAGCACAGACTTGCCTGCTCTGCCCTCTACCACCATGGTTAAAACTCAAAACCCAAAAAGGATATCGCAGGATAAACAGAATCAAAAGGTGTTTGAGTATCATTTTGTCTATAACAGTCGTTATAAATCAGGAAACATGCAGATAATAGAAGAGACCCAGAGTTACCCAATACAGTGCCACGAGCCGCAGGCAGCAGAGGACTGCCTGCCAGCACAGTGATTCACTACCCTATGCATCAGGGTCAGCCAGAAAGACTTCACACTCCACTTTGGAATGACTGTGTGTGGGTGGAAAACCATAAGGATGGAGGGACCAGTGCACCAGGGAGAGCTATGATCAGTCTAGGTATCAAGGGAGAGAAGTGTGGTTTCTAGAACCAGAAAGGAGTTTGAGGAGAGACCACTTGAGGGAGTTGCGGGGCGGTGGTGGTGCACACTATTAATCCCAGCACTGGGGAAGCAAGAGGCAGGCGGATCTGTGAGTTCAAAGCCAGCCTGGTCTATAGAGCAGTTTCAGGACAACCAGAGCTACACAGGGAAACCCTATCTTGAAAAACCAGAAAAAAAAAATTGGATCTCCCTCCTGCCAGAGTTTCTCATGGACTGAAGCACTCAGAGGCCAGAGGCCTAAGGTGTCTGTTAAGACAGTCCCTACAGAGCAGCCTCCCCAAGACAGAAAGTAAGATAGAAAAGAGGATGGGAAAGAGCTGGGGAAATAGTTCAGTAGGTAAAGTGATTATTGAGCAAGCCTAAAGAGACCAGAGTTCAGATCCTCAGCACCCATATAAATGCTGGGTGGGCATAGAGGCCCCTCTGGAATCCCAGTGCTCAGGGAGGTGGAGACAGGAAAATTCCTAAAGTTCTGGGTTCAAGTGAGAGACCCTGGCTCAATAAAATGTGTAAGGAGGTGAGCAATCGTGGAAGACACCAGACTTTGTGCACCCATACCCATGTAACACTGGTGCACATACACACCACAGAGAGGGAGAGAGGAGAGAGAGAGAGAGAGAGAGAGAGAGAGAGAGAGAGAGAGAGAGAGAGAGAGAGAGGAGATGAAGGCAGAGGGTCGAATGGCAGCCATTCAACAGCCATAACAGGGAAAGTCTTAGCTGACCTGGCTAGTAGGGGCAGGAAAGTAGCATGGACTCAGAGACCGAGCTGTGAAGGGCAGAGCCTACATCTGCAGGGGCACTTGGCCCTCCTGGGCTCATCCTGTCTTTGGCCAAGGCTGTTTACCCACATCGTTACCAAAGTGATCATTACCCTTCTAGGGCTCATTATGATCATAAGTTTGTCTTTCAGATCTTGATTCCCTTCACACCACCTGCTTCAGTATGCTCAACCTCCTTGGGGTTTGACCCTTCTTCCCCTGGGGTCAGAAAGGAACTGTTTCTCTGTGGTCCTGCTCTGCAAACCTGGACAAGTGTTTGGGGCTGGAGCCCAGGAATCCTGTCATGCCTTGGCACGAAGGAGCAGATGAGCTCATCAGAAGAGCTAAGTGTAACACCGAAACATGTGGCAATGCTTTTGGTCTCACAAGATGCTCTTTGATGAAAAGGTTTTCATAAGCAAGAAACTTCTGACACTGTCTGGGTTTTATCACTTCTCACTTATCGGAGAAGTGCACTGGGTACAAAGAGCATGATAAAAATTTATGGTTTCCCTCCTAACCGTTTTTTTTTTCCCATCATTAATTGTAGCCAAGAAAGAACAGCCTGTACCTCAAAGCTGCCTTTTCCCACCCGAGAAACAGAGCAACTCTGATTACACTTGCACAATCCAAAAACATTTACTCAAGGCACACAGGGCAGGGATTGTTGAAACTTTGACTGTACCAACAGATTCAAGCAAGTAATTCTACAGAAACTGGAGACCTAGTGAGAAAGAACAACCTATGAGCAGATAGCCAAGACCCAAGTTAAGTCCACAAGTTAATTTGACAAACGTCCCTTAAGTGACATGAGTGTCTGACTCTGTGTGGAGTTTCATACCAAGTGAACCAGTGTGAACAGGGAGGGAAACAGACAACTGGGGAGTCTTCCTTCAATAACCATGAACAGAAATCTTGCAAGTTTGACTTCATCGTACATGGGAAGGGAATGAATACTTTGTTTTCTGAAGTAGACAATTCTCAATATTTACTGACTAGAAAAACAACTGCAGTGGCCAGGCCCGGTGGCACATCCCTGCAATCCCAGCACTGGGAAAGCAGAGGCAGAAGGATCATTGCCAGTCTGAAGCCAGCCAGAGCTACCCAGAAAGACTGTTGCAAAAGGTGGGGGGGGGGGGGTGTAAGTGGAGACACAGCTCTCGATTAAGAGTGTGTGCTGCTCTTGCAGAAAGTTGGTGTTCAGTTCCCAGAACCCACTTTAGGGGAGCTCACAACTGCCTGTAACTTCAGCTCCAGGGGATCTGATGCCTTTGGCCCCCATGCACACCTACCCACACACATATGCACATAATTAAAAAATAATAAAAATAAATATTTTTTAAAAAATAAAAAAGAAACAAGTGAGAGAATATGGGTTATGGAGGCTCCGCCCCCACTAATACTTCATGGTCTACCTTATTATTTGTTATTAGTATAGGCTACATTGGCTTAGGCTTCAAACTTTTTTTCCCCCTTTGTTTTTTTGAGACAGGATTTCTCTGTATAGTCTTAGCTGTCCTGGAACTCACTCTGTAGACCAGGATGACCTCAAACTCACAAAAATCTGTCTGCCTCAACCTCCCAGTGGGCCACCACTGGTGGGCTTCAAACTTTTAATCATTTGAAAAATCCACACTAGTTCCAAGGAGGAAGTCTAAGAAGAGACCTCAGGAATATTAGTGGAAACAAAACAAAATAAAACAAAAACAACAACAACAAAAACAGCAAGAGAAAAAAATTGTGGCAAATTATATTCATGCTAAAAAGATGTCTTCCCAGGGCCAAAGAGATGGCTCAGCATTTAAGTGCACTTGCTGTATGACCTGAGTTCAGTTCTCAGCACCTATATCAAGCGGCTCCCAAACATCTGTCACTCCAGCTCCTGGGGATCCAACATGCTCATCTGGCCTCTGAGGGCGTTGCAAACACTTGGTGGACATACATACCTGCAAGCAAACACTCCCTGAGTTGGGGGAGGTATTTGTGTCTGGATATGAGTGAGCATGCTCAAATCCACTACACCAGAGATCCAGTAGCGTAACATGAATCTTAAAAGGTTTTATAATAAAAAAAAACCCATAGGCAGACATTGGGGTGAATGCTGAAAGATCAGAGAAGCAGAGCAAGCCACAGCCAACCTCACCTCACCAACTCCTCAGCTGATCTTGTTTCCTCAGACTGGAAGCCTCTGAGTCCTCACCCCTGAGGGTCTCAGCTGAACTGCTTTAGCCCCTAGCTTACCTCTACGAACTCCTCAGTCTAAAGAGAGGGACTTTCTGTTTCCTCACGCCTTATATACCTTTTTCTGCCCTGCCATCTTACTTCCTGGGATTAAAGGCGTGTATGCTTCCCAAGCAAAGGCATGAGATCTCAAGTGTTGGAATTAATGGTGTGTGCCACCACACCTGGCTCTGTTCCCAGTGTGTCCTTGAACTCACAGAGATCCAGATAGATCTCCCAGTGATAGGATTAAGGGTGTGTGTCAACACTGTCTGGCCTCTATGTCTAATCTAGTGGCTGGCTCTGTCCTCTGATCCCCAGGTAAGTTTTATTGGAGTGCACAATATATCACCACACAGCAGGAGCAAGGACAGCCAGAAAGGGGCAGCTGGAAAAAGCCTAAGTCTGAAGTAGAAGCTATGGGCAGACTGACAAATTTTGCAATTCAAATGTCACTCTTGATGTGAGGTTGTGCCTGTCTGAAGTATCTATCTCATTGCCCCATAGCAAACCTAGAAGTCTATCTACAATGCCAGTCCTTCCCTGGAGTGAGTCTTTTTCTGTCTTGCCAGCCAGCTCCCAACTAAATGATATGGAGAATTCTTATTTATTATGGTAGCTCAGCTTGTTTTTAACTAGCCCTTATAACTTAAGTTAACCCATTTCTATTAATCTATATGCTATCCCAAGGCTCATTTACCTCCTCTATGTACTATCCATCCTGCTTTCCTGCATCTTTCAGAGTCTTCCTTCTTCTTCCCAGCATCCTCTCTGCCCTGAAAAGCTATTGACCGTTCAGCTTTTTATTAAACTAATCAGAGTGACACATATTCACAGTATACAAAAAGATTATTCCACAACATTTCCCCCTTTTTGTCTAAATAAGAAGAAAAAGTTTGAATTCTAACACAGTAAAACTATATACAATAAAAACAATTATCAGGTAAGAATTACACTCATAATGTCCAGTCCATTTGTATTTGGCAAATTCAGAAAAAATCCTCCATTAACTATACTCTCTTGATGAGTCCAGAGTTTTGTATCTAATTTACTTTTTAATCATGACTAAGGAAAACTACCTAGTTTTCAACTCCATCAAAGACCCCAGAAGGATATAGTAATACCTGAATAAACAGAAAGTGCAGTGCAAACCACTTCCAAAATGACTTAGATATCTGGCTGCCTGGACAGT